TCAGAAGAACTTAGAATTTATTATTTTATATGTCCAAATGAATTGTAAAGTAACCCAATTCGATCACAGAACACGTATAAAAGAAAATTGAAATATTAACTGTTAATTACAGTTATTAAACTCATTGAGCCGCAACGCGCTCAAGTGCGCAGCCTACTTATTTTTTAACTGGTCTAATGCTAGACGATTTTACTCGTCAATGGGGAAGCTCTGTAGAATTAAGAGATTACGGACTTACATTACTTTAGGGAAACCAAATTAGGTTACCGCAAAACAAAGTTTGCGGTAATGGGGTTGTAACCCAGGTTTGGTTACTGCAATTTTGGTCAGCCTGACTCCACCAAAGATTGCAGGGTTTTTTCCAGTAAGCGAGGGCCCTTCTTATTTGTGATATCCTTGTTTCTATATTTACAGAATCACAATTACAACTAAAGGAAAATATGCGGCGATTCATGCTGGCATCTTGCCATGCCTTGTCAGCCTCCTCACAGACACTTCAAGTGAAGTAAGACTTAATGCGTTGAAGGTGAGTGTATTATAGAAGTTGAACCAATTCAGTTCGAGTTGTACCATCCAGACAGTTGTATATATGATCCAGTGATCAGAATATACCCCATTGTCTTTTCAGCGTTATGAAAATCGCCAGTGTTCTCCATGTCAGGGAGGGCCGCCCTCCCCAATATCTAAATGTCCCTTTGTCAGTGACTGAAAACAATGAATATTTCACATTGTATGTTTCAACATCTTAACAGGCAATCACAACATTAGCCGAAGCTCCAATGGGGCGGACAACTTTATTGGAAAATGTTGATAAGGTATGTGAAACTGTTTTACATTAATAAGATGACATGAGTAAGATATACTGTAAGACACTACAACACCATTCAAGCCCAAAGCGGAGACCCTTTATCATTGCCATCAGGAAGATAGTTGACTAAATTGCTAACGTCATATTTGTAGGTGGAAAAGCTCATCCATGATCACGAGAGCCCAGCTGTGAGAAAAGCCGCACAGATTGCAGTAAAAGTAATAACTTGGAAACCATAGGAACTATGCAAGACTCACGCCTGTACATATAGCAAAATAATGTCAACTGTACATAGTAATAAATCTATTTTAATCTATGAGCTCAAATCTATCAACCAAATCAACTTATGGAGGTGTAAAGGGCCATTTCGTATTGGTCCAGTCAGCGTTTTTGGAGTGACTATAATGTTTGCGAGCTAAAAACAGTTCTCTCTTTGTCGCCCACATGACTGAGGTGAAATTATAATAAGACAACTGAATACGATGTTAGCTCGATTTCTACAGTGATTTTGTGAATATGTATGTTTAATGCAAGATCTCTTGACATTTGGCATGAATTGAAATGCTCATGGGGTCATTCCAGAAAACATCCATACCTCCCCCCCCCTTTGGACGTCTTAGCTATTTTGACCCTTAATACACTTACTATTATAAGAAACAAATTGTTCTCCCCCTCTGGATGGCAGAAATTTCCACTGTGGGAGGAGTGTGGATCTTTTCTGGAACAACCCATTAGTAAAATAAGATAAAACCCTCAAATGTCTTCTGGGATGAAGGCGTCACTGCTCTATACCTTGTCCTTGGCTTGGAATTTACTGTTACCAGTGTTACAATGGCTCTTCTTCATCAGAATCGAATTCCACATTTTCGTCTTTAATCCACTTTCCATTTGAATCCAAAATCCAACCTGACATTTTCATTTCTAAATATCTCCTCTGTTCATCTCTGTTCATTTTGCCACTGACACCTTTACACTCAGTTGTCTGTTGAAAATCTACAGCATTATTCCCGACCAATTGCCCATCTACGGCTGTATTGGTGGAGCCTTCAATTTGACAATAATTTGCCGAACCATGGCTGAAAGAACTCTTTATTATAGGCATAAGTTTTGATTGAAGATCACTCTTATAATCATTCCTGTTTACAACTGCAGTCGAGGACAAGCTTTTTGACCCTTGGATGACTGTGTTTGATCCACAAATATTACCATCTGCATGTTTTGACAGCTTTTCTGCACCAGTGCTCAATCTGTGGTCAGTTTTATTGTTTGTGGTGGACGTTGACTTTTGCAAGTTTTTATCAAAAATATCTCTAGATAATTTCAATTCAACTCTTGATTGAAAGAATGGTTTATTTTTCTTGAAAATGTCCCCTGGCTGTTCATTCGTAAATCCTTGAGATTCCATAGTCCTTTTTTCGCCAAGGTTAGATTTCTGAACTTGTGGATTGTTAGGCGTACTCTGCGTTGTAACACGTTCTGCAAGCAGTCTTGTTTTGGCAAGTAATGGAGCGGTTTCCGACGTATCGTTATTAAATAATTCCATTGAGTTTTTTCCAATGTTTGATGGTTTATTATTAATGCTAGCTTCTTTTAAATAGAATTCTTGTTTTCGTTTTTGAAGCAGTTCATTCAAGTTATGTTCTTTTTCAATCTTTATGGACATGTCTAACAACAGACAAAATGCTCGCTTTGCTTTTAATTGTTTAGGGTAAACGTTGTGGGACTCGCCAGAACTCTGAAGGCCGAATGCTGGCTTATTTTGAAAGCCCTGATTAATGAGTTAATCAAGTGTGGCCCCAACATATATACATACTCATCATACATGCCCCCCCCCCCCAATGTGCCATTGTTGCATCATGACTTAAAACTTACTTGTTAGATGTTTCCTTCCCTGTCTATGTATTGATAACATCGGCATGGTGTCCAGGACTGGGTTATGAGGACAAACAAGACAAATATACCTGAAAAATATGACAGAATTTCAAGGCCAAATTTTGGTGGAAATGGTGCGGGAGATGAAAGGTGTACCCATGAAATATTTTAGGGAAGGTGTACCCATGAAATATTAGGGGGTACCCCCCTGAAGTCAGCTATGTCTACCTGATGTACGTATGTACTATACATATATGTGTGCATCAGTGTCATTGAACTATAAATAAACTGGAAGGCTAACTGCTATGATGAAGGCCTATGATTTGATGAAGCCAAAATAGTTTTTCTGAGTTATGAGCAGAAATACTTGACCCCAAAAAATACAAAAAACAAAAACATGTAGTTTTTCAATATTTCCCTTTTAGGTAAAGTCTTGAAATTTCTACACCAAATAGCGTTTTTCAATAGCTTCAGTTTGATATATAGCCCAATGTTCAGTGTTGAGTATTTCTGCTCATAACTCAGAAAAACTAAAATGCACTGGCTTCAATTTCCCCCCTGAGTTAGCCTTCCAGTTTACTTATAGTTCAATGATCAGTGTACTTTTAAAAGAATTAGGACTCATCCAATTTTTCCCTTCATTAATGAAAAGTTAGGGTATTTCAGTTTACACAGCAATGAATGGCTACCACTGTTTCAATTTTACAGAAAGGCCATTAATTGTTATATTTCACTTCGATCTCATCCCCAGGGCCTTTCTGCTGCACACCTTCTCCCCAGGCCCTGGGACAAACAGAACCAGAAGTAGTTCTAGAAAACTTCTTCGTAGTTTCAAAAGTGCATGCTCTTTTCACAGTAAAGTATTGCGAAGGAACAAAGCATTTGTGTTGACATATGTTGATAGAATAATTTTGCTTAGCTAAAACTGCTCAACTTCTGTGAAATATATAAATACTTTTTGTTTTTGGAAACACGATTTAAATTTATTACTGCAAAGCGTTGGGTCCACAAGCCCTCAAACAAAAAGAACTATTTTGAAAAATAGCAGTTCTCTGAGAAGTCAGTCAGATCTCTTCCTTTAGTCATTTAACCCACAGCCTAATTTTCAACAAAATACAAAGAAACGTATAAAAAGACATTACATTATATAAACTTACAAGACAATTTCAGAATACTTATAATAGAATACTTAGTACATATTGGAACAAACATTGTGTATCAATATATTTAAATGATTGGAAAAAATGGAAATGTTATAAATAAAAAATAATAAATAAATAATATATTAAATATCAAAATAGTTTAAATGATTGTTATGTTTTGACTGAGAAAGGCATCGGGATTGTGATTTGAAAGGGGGTTGGCTTTCTCCTAGAATGAAAAACTTCAAAACAATCTTTGACCTCACTAAAATCCTGGCACAATTGCAGTGAACAGCCTATAAAAACATACTTGCCACTCCGTGTTTGGTTCACTTCATCAGCAGGTATATCTTCCGCAAACAGTTCTGCAACACGTTGTTTCTACAAAAATACAAAACACAATTTCAATACACAAACATGAATGATATTCAAATGTTATTCGATATAATATTCTGACTATTCAAATATAATTAGCTTCCCATTAACAGGTTTTTGAATGTAAAAACTAAACATGTACCATTATTGGTTATTATCTACAAATTTCCCGCATGATAAATTCGTAAAAAACCATAATGATTAATATTTACTATAAATGGTATTGTTACTTTATTTTTCCCTGTGCACAGGAAAATTACGTTGACCCATTAAGCTGCAGAGCTTCCCAATTGACAAGTAAAATCGTCTGGCGTTAGACAAGTAAAGAAAATAAGTAGAGCACACTGGGGTGCATTGCAGCTCAGAGGAATAACTAGAGACACTGTCAGATTTTTTGGTTAACCAATTAAGCTGCAGAGCTCCCATTGATGAGTAAAATCATCTGGCGTTAGACAAGTAAAAATATAAGTAGAGGGCATAGCCGCTAAGTGGGTTAATGGTAAATATTAAAGGTGATGTAAAGTCTTTAATGTAAACAAACACTTTGTTTACATTTTGAACTCAGTGCTACAGTTGTAAAATATGATTACATATATATTATGCTGAATTTTTAACACTCTACTGGTTCGCTACGTTTGTAAATGAATACAAACTAGAGATTCAATTCAAGAAAGTTCGGAAGGAGCGACATATTAATTTAAACATCCCAATGGTCGGGTCCTGACCATTGGAATGTAGGCCTGCGCATATGAATTGCGTGTTGGAGATTTCAAAAATTTAATAGTAATTGCATCAAAATTGTGCGCCGGAGATATCCGCCGCGCAATGCTCTAAGATAACTTTCCACTGGCCTGCACAGAATGTATGCACAGAACAGACTTTACAACAGATTTAATATTCACCATTAATGAATAATGGTAGCGGTATTTTATTTTTTCCTATCCACAGGAAAATACAATTAATGGTAAATATTAAAAAAATGATGTTTTTTACCAATTTACTATATTGGAAATCTATAATAGAGCCAATATTAACGGAAAGAGTTGAGTTTTTGGAAGTGTATATACATGCTAAATCATCAAGTACCATTCAAAACCAATTATCAAATAATTTAGAATATTTCCAATCTAAGTAATTACGCAAAAATTGACAACATTTCGCACTTTACTCACTTTTTGCAACCTTAATGCACAGTGGTCATCACCAGCTCTTTTGAAAGACATCTTCAAAAATATTAAAATCCAACTTTGTAAACGCTACCGTTCGTTTATTGTCACATAAACACTTTCTACCGAGCTATCCGGCATATATATCTGTATATCATCGTACAAATGATAGAATTAACTTCAAAATTTTACGCACAAATACAATACAAATGAACACATTTTTGTTTGTTTCTTTGAAGCGGCCATATTGGATACCGCGCAGATAGTCAATCCTGGAACTTGGACACTAGTCACATGATCAGATATTCTTTAAAATGGTCTTTTAATCATAATAATATTTAATATTTATATAGCGCAAATTAAATAGAGAATAATACACGGGCGCGCGGAAATACCAGATTTATTTCGAGTGTTGAACATGATATCTCGCCATCTGATATCTCATCAGTTGACTATCTTCGGCATAAACATTCAACTTAGGGACCGGTCCAGAGGGACCGGTCATAAAATAACTGCTAGTGGGCTGGAGTGATTTGGGATGGGCCATGGAAAATCTTTGGGCAGTTTCGATGGGCCGCCAATTTATTGGTATCTCCAGGGTTGGGCCACCAAACAAAACCCATGTTAATTATATATTACATAAAGATATTAATAACAAAAGTGAACAAAACTATCCAAATTATCAAATGCAAATGATGCTATTGAAGCCAGTACTTTGTTTTATACAACAACAAGAAGTGGTCGAATCACAGCAAATACAACCAACTGGAGAGCAGCTCAATATCGTAATTAGTGATGAATTTGTTGGTCAAACTGGGTGGAATTATCTATGTTAATACAGTCTTTTGGAAGCTGAAAGTAAAGCTTGGACGGTTGAAACTGGTTAAAAATTTATTTTAAAAATATTAAAATATCGGAAAATGTTAATACAGTGCCGGTGTATATTTGCAATGTTCATACCTTTTTTTTATAATAAAATTGTATTTTCCCAATTTTGATTGGGTGGGTGGGTTATGAAATAAATTTGATAGGATTAGATGGGCTTTGAAATTTTTATCTACATCCTAAGATGGGCCACCAAACTTATTGGCAAAATTTGTGATTTACCTCCAACCCACCCTAGCAGTTACTTTATGACCAGTCCCTTATATGTTTATGACGTTCAATATCTTCAGCATAAACATTCAACTTAGATGTCGACGTCATAAACACGATCGTCGAATATCGACGTCATAAACACCAAAGTTGATCGTGTTTATGACGTCGAATATCGACGTCATAAACACCAAAGTTGATCGTGTTTATGACGTCGAATATCGACGTCATAAACACCAAAGTTGATCGTGTTAATTACGTCGAATATCGACGTCATAAACACCAAAGTTGATCGTCATGACGACCCGCACGCCTATAAATTGAATTATCTTGAAGGTGTTAGTTACCACAGCATTATTAGTCGAGGTGGTAAGAGTGGGGACATGTATAATAAATTTATAGTGATATAATTTATGCGTGCATGAAATTTAACCCCATAGATATGATGTAGCAAATAACTAACTGAGCTAACATACAAACCAGGTTGTCATCACCAATTCATAATAATGTTAGCAGACAATGCCGCGCAAAGTTCAAATTGCGCCAAAACTTAGTGGTCTGAAGAAGAGTGCATTCTGCTTGACAATCTGTGTATGGATTCAGGATGGAGATCAAGATCGAACAAACTGGCAATATTTTGATGGCTGCTTATTAAAGAATAAAGATTAAAGATTAATGCGAAGTATTTTCAATCAGTAAGGTTAGGTAATAGTCAAAAGGCTATAGCCTATAGGTATTGCAGCAAGCATCGTTATTATTTCTTTAGTATACAGTATGCTAGATACCACGGCTTTCAAGCAGGGCTATCACAACCGCGAGTTGATTGTACTATATTCGTTATTTAATATACTCATTTCTATATTTTGATACAAGGTAGCTCAAGACAAATAATATTTATTTACATATATATACCGGGTGGCGCAAAAAAAGTTCAGGCGTTCGATCTACCATAGCGAAAAAACTATAAGAGCTATACATCGCTCAAATAAATGTAGCTGTATTCATAAAAGGCTAACTTAAATTTTGATAGGTTATACATGAGATATCACGAAATATTGACTGAGATATCAGCGTTCAAATTAAACTTGCGTATAAGCATTTTCAAAAGAATCGAAAATTAGTCTAAAATGGCCCATTGAACTAAATTTGATATCATTCTCATTAGACATTACGCTGGGCATCGCCAGATTATTTCCCAGGCGAGCTAGTGATGAGTAAACGCGGAGATGAGCCGTACCCCTGGCTTTCAGATTTGTCAATATCCAAATTTTTGTGGCTATAC